TTGATTTATGTGTTTAATGAAATGTGTTGGCACAAATAATTGATCCATATCTCACCAGACAATCGCATTGTCCATCTTTAACCCTCAGGAATTTACTTGGAAAAGCTACATTTTCCAACATTCTAATTCCTCCTTCCTCAACTTTATGTATTTTCCAGTATCCTCGCTGGGATTTCTTTCCACTTGCTGAGCATGCTCCATCTTCATCGCTGACAAAAACCTGGATTCTTGATGTATGTAAAACCACAACACCTGCATCACGTAACATACCCTGTTATCAAAAATATTATTTCCTTTAATTGCTTTGCTTGAATGTGACATGGTAATTGGTTTTGTTTCTATGGTAATACAATTATGGCATGCAACCCAGTAAAGAAAAACACTGTAAATAATCAAAATATACAAAATTCACAATGATTTCTTTTGACACAAAAGCTTTTTAAATATTTCAAATATAAACCACTTCAATTTACTTGTTTTACTTATGTTGACCATAAGTGTTCACCAGTGTTCTGTGAGAGTAAATCAACAGCCCACATTTACAACTTGACTGAAAATACAATATCATCATGGATCTGTACATGCAGTGATAATTATAACAAAAAAAACAATAGTGGGTTGGTTGCAGCATATGTCCCTTTAAATTGAGCCTCACCTTCACGTAAGTAACAAACTGTTTAGATGGTCCGACACTGGAACCTCTGGTATCACCACTTCTCCCATTGGCTAGAAATGTTACAAACTGACTGGGTGTCTTTACTGATTCTAAAGACACACTACGGTCTTGATGTGTGCGAACTCGGAATTCACAGTAAGCTCCACCTTTGCCCTATGATTGAAGAAAATAATATTAGCACAATGCTGGCAATAAAAATATACTGTGGAATGATGGTTTTACATTAAATGAATGATATACTACTGATAAACGCAAAGAATTCATTTCCAGCTAGAAAAAAATAAGCATATCTCATATCATTGTTATCCATAACTATTTAATCTCAAGAAAAAATAGCCTGGAGTAACAAGTTCCTAACAAATTATGTTCAAACACCGAGTGAAACAGAAAGTGGAAATGAAGTTGCTTTTTCTCAAAATTCTTCTCATTTCTATAATATGAATTCAAGAGGCAATATTCTCAAAAACAAAATGTAGTTTATAACATCGCCACCACCCCAAAAGACTAGGACCCTTTCTAACCATGGCCTCCACCCCAAACCAACACCCATTCCCCACCTCTATTGGATTTGATAAGATTTTTAACATAATAAATTTTTGGCAAAACTGACACAGAATAGATTGAATGAAACATGACATACTAATAGACATTCAGCTGGCACTTTTGGTGACTCTTTTTCTGACAACAGCAATAATTTGCAATACTATGTTTGTGAAATGTTTTTTCAAGTTCAATAATAACTAGTAGATTTTTTTTTGAAAGAAAATATTGCTGTTTTCAGGAAAAACACATTAGGTAAAATAAAGACATCCCTTGTTACCCACAATGCCTTGTGCATGTTTAGCTGAAAGCAGGTCATGTGACCATAGCAAGAATAATGTTATGAGAATGACAACTGTCTCTAATACGAAATTGATATGCTGGGTTACTTGGGTTATTTCTCATGTAAACTTTTCTGGTTATAAATTGCCTAGATGAACCTGAACCCGTTTAGGAGTATCAGAAGTAAGAAACAGACAATATATCCCAGCATACTAAAAATAGTCAGTTTCATAACAAAATTTTACAATGGCATATTTTCAGTGAAGTCACTCAAAGGACCAAGAGTTAAGTACTACAACACTACTGAGAGTGTGCAAACCAAAGAGTTATACTATAAAATTCTACGCAGCTAAAGTCAGTCTATGACTGTCACCCACCTAACCCATGCATATACATAGAATCAAATAGATACCTCTATTACATGATGAGAAAATGGCAGTACAAAAAGTAAACTATACTGCATGGTAGAAAAATAAAATTTAGATTTGTTAGAAGCGGTCAATATAGACAAGTAATTGCATTACATAGACCATAGGAGTTAACAAGTTTAAGAAGCAGCTTCTCGGCTGAGATACATTGTAGCTCCGATGTTGGCAATTCACATTTCAATTAAAGAATTGAAAATATCATCATGAAATGAACAAATCTGAGAGGACCACCTGTAGTATCTACATGTATAAAGCAACAAAAAGTCGAAAACATCACTTTTTTTTCCAAAAATGACAAAAATATTCACCAAAATTAGAGAATTAAAGATATCTACATGAAATGAACAAATCTAAGTGAGGTCTACTCAAGTATCAAAATGGTCAGGCTTGTAGTAGTTGTAGTTGTTGAAAAAGTTAAACGTTGATATGGACAATGACAATGCCAACAAACAATCACTCATGTGATAAGCTCTGGTTAAACAAAGTCAACAGCAAAGCTAATAAAAAGTTTAAATATGATTGGTCAACAGCATGTCAGAAATATGGCTCTTGAATAGAATTCATTAACACAAAATGGCCACAAGTTGTAAATTTTGAATATGATCTAATAAAACAAAATCATATGGTCCTATAATGTACAATTTACGCACAAATTTTGAACAAAACCCATCCACGGTATATATGATGAGATAAGGTTCCAGAATTTTAGAAGAGCTTTATTTTGATAAATTTTGAATATTAAAATGGACGCCCTTTTGACTATCTTGAATCTGATCATCAAATAAATATATTGAATATAGTTTGACGATAATCAGTCAAGGCATGTCAGAGATATGGCCCTCGAACTGCAATCATTCAAAATATTCTGCAGTCAGCTAATTGAATGCACCAACTTTGAATAAAACCTATCCATGCATGACTGAGATTCGTTTTTGGAATAGCAGAATTGATTTTTAAGCACTCAAATAGCTGCCATCCAGCCATCTTAAATCCAATCATGAAACCAATCAAGGTGCATATGATGCATGTGACTGGTACAGGTATGTCAGAGATACTGGTTGGGACGTACACACACATCTGCAAAAGTCTATCCATATACATCTCTGTTTTCAGACTTTGTCTGGTTAGAAGCAGTTGATATAGAATCACATTCAGTGTTTTAAATTTTGAACACTCGTGCTTCCCCTTCAAACAATGTATGAACTATAAACAGAGTAATAACACAAACATACATTACATTATTTTGACTAGTTTACCTGACCAAGGACTTTACAATGATCAACAGCTAGGTGGTAGGATGGATTCATCACACTACGGAACACACGAATGTTTCCTTTTCTTCTGTGAACTTCAAAATGAGCTGCAAACAAAAATCACATGACCTGGAATTAATGATTTGATTGGTATAATTTGCCTTACTTAGAACTACCATAACAGTATGCAGACTAAATCTTCTAAGTGTAAAGTACAGAACATTAACTTAAAGTGCCTGTGAACTGTACATCACCACTATTTCAGATTTGTGACTTATCCATAAAGGATGAATAATGTATAATGATGAACAATTAGTGCTATTGAAAGTACACACTGTTATGATATCAAGCAGTGAAAAAACAGTGAAACTTTCGAAAATTTATTTAAAAAAAAAGACATTTGGACTACAGAAAAAAAAACTTCCACTGTACTGACTATATTCAGAAAAACAAAGTTACCAACTACATTACAGAATCCACACGAACCAGTTGACTGGCTGCCAGAAGTAAGAAAGGCCAAGGGAATGTACTGCTGTTACTATCAAGATAATGTATTGTTTGGAATACCACTTATATCTACTCTCAGACCACTGGTCCAGGAGTATTTTGACATATTACTTAGACAACCCAAACTCAACCCACTTGGTTTGATTTAAGTGATGTCATCATGTTATAATAATACCGATAATAATAATTATCTTTATTGCATTCGTAACCCTATTAGGATTTTGAATAAAATGTACATGTACTAATGAATACATGTATGTGAAATTTACAAAGCACAATTACTTAGAATCCTGATGCACCAAACAAGATGACATCCCAACTCCAAAACATCTTGATGATGGACAACAAATGACAGACATTTTTTCAACTGAACTTTTGTTTAAGGGCAAGGCAAACAAGCCATGCGTAAGGAATGTGGGGTGAAAATGGTCACCAGTCCAATCCCTCAAAGGTCATCAAAACACAAAATGTACCTAATATGTATACTATTATGTCATGTCTCTGTACCTCCATGTACTTCAACAAAATTGGTCAAAGCATGTCTCACAAATAGATAACGACACAAGCAAATAAAATCAACATAGCTGCCATTTGACCATTTCAATTAAAAAAACAATACAAACTCACATACATCAGTGAATCATAAGTAATGTCAATGCCAATTTTAAATCACTATTATAGTGATTGATTTCTAAGTTTTACAATGGAGCAACAACAATGAGGACAGACATTTTCCTTTCATATACCTCCATCTATGATGACACAGACAAGACTATGATGAACAGACTGACAAATGGAACCCAAAAAACAAGCTCCATTCATCCAACAGGATAAACATAGCTGTGTAGTAAAATGTAACTTACAGAAAGGATCAGTGCCGTCTGGATCACCATTTGCATCAACTGTAGCATCAGCTTTCACTCGTACAGCTTTACTAGTGCCTTTACAGTACAATAGAACAGTGTTGCCTCTGTCATACTTCCATTTCTCAAGTGCCCACTATAAGGATTGAATTAAAATACAGTAAGAATACTAAGACATGTAATTATTGTGCTCTGATCAAAGTCAAATTATACCAACATCACTCACCATGTCTTTTTCAAGAGCTTGAACTAAAAAACAAACAAAAGAAACATTTATTAGCAATCTTCAAATACAAGAGTTAGATAACATTTGGTTTAAACTGAATGGATTTAGTTAGATCTGATAGTACAGGTGACATTTTTCATTCAATTACTTTGAACTGGACTGGGATCTAATACTTTGGATTTATTTTGATTTATTGCATGGTGAATGAAAACTGCAATAGATAATTTTCTGCTCACTCTGAGATCTTGTGTAATGTGTGAAAGATCGATCAAACAACTGTCGCATATGGAATATAGTGTTGAGATACACAATAAACTGACCATTATCATGGAAATACCCGAAAAATAATTTTGTGTTTGTCAAATCCTGCACAAACATACAAAGGACATCACTATGATGCTTTGTTTGTCCCGTTTTCATGTTAGATTTTACTCACAACAATGGATCTCGCAGTGAATGGAAAATAGTCTATTATAACGAGTTAACAAATAATGCAACAGATCTCATAAAGCAAGTATAATCAAGTGAGTGTGCACAAAATTTGCATAGTGTGAATATTGGTGTCTGTCTAAGAGCTGATACCATGATTGATTTAAACTTACCACTAGGTGGTTTAGTTTCCAGGAGCAGTTCTCTTACAGTTTTACCATCATCTTCTCCTTCATCCAACCATCTTAATTTAAAGAGCAAGTAATGATTTAGGGTGAGGATACATTTCTAGGAAATATTACTAGACACAAGTACTTTCAATGATTAAATTGCTACATTTATATGCACAGTACATTGTGAGACACAGGATAATTGCAAAATAAACAGCCAACATTTCATTGGGTGTTACTACAAAATTCAACTAGTGGAATAAATGGTTTGACTAGTATATTTTCTTCCTTGGAACCAGCCATCTTGGGAAATAAATGGTTCACAATAATCTGGTTGTATATGTTGTACATTTGTATATATACAAAGTATTTTCATTTCATATGCATTACCTGTGACATGGGAAAACAAATTCATCATGTGCATCAGGTGACTCCATGACAATAACTTTTTCTAAGTACCATCCATGCCCTGAAAATAAAATAACAAACATCACTTCATACAACAGGTAATCTTCCGTTTTTATGAAAATAAAAGTGACCTGTTGGTCAAAAGAGTTTCACTGTCTTCATGGATTGTTGTCATATCAACTAAGTTGTATACGATGACAGATTAGCTAAAGTGTCAAAGTTTACAGCGTCATTTGCCATGATAATTGTTCTTGTCATATCACAACCATAACAGTTTATAAGGTTGATGTCATGGTGATAGTAATTGTTATCACCAGGTTACAAATCTGAGACCTAGGCCAATAATTTTCAGGAAGAATTCAATAATAACATCGTCTCCAAAAATATGACCAAAACATTCACTTTAATTAGATAATTGAATATGTCTTCATGAAATGAACAAATCTGATATGAGATCTGATTACATGTAGCCAAAGGATTTGGCTGGTTGCTTATTTGTATAGCAAAAGTCGATGGATGACCAAATAATCACCTACAGATGTAAAAATTAAACTCTGCTCTGTCATCCATAGTAATCTATTTTCACGTACCAGGATCTGTATCTGTAAGTCCAACAACAACTTTCTGTATAGCACCCAAAGAGACAGCCTCCACAGAGAAGATATCAGTCTGGCCTTTCTCAAATTTGTTAGATCGTTTAGAGCGATGTAAATGTCTAGGTCCTGTATCACCTTTCTCACCATACATGGTGATATAAACATCAGCATCAGTTCCACCATTCCAGTAGTCACCAGTTACTGTGGCAACTTGATATTTGCACACTGAGAAAAAAAGATGCAAGTAAGTGAACCATGATACTATAAATATTCAACTAACTAGCTATTGCATACATGACATCACATGCTCACAAACCTAATCAATATAGAAATCTTACTTGGAATAACTGGTTGACCATATTGAGTAACTGGCAACTCTCTACATATCTCTCCATCATCTTCTTCTGTAGATAACCATTTATTGCAGGGGAATGTGAATTCTTCATCAGTATGAATGTCTTGCAGCGTCACCTTGAGAAGTAATTCACATATTTCACCATCATTTGTGCTGGTTATAGCGCCCTCTACCCTTTAAAGGCTCAATACCTTTCATGGAATTAGTTTCCATTACAATAATTATTTATATTTAATAGTATTTATAATTATTTAATAAATATTATATATACATGTCTAAAACAAATAGCTTTAGATAAAAATGAAAAAAGAAATTCAAATATTGGTCATTAACAATTTAAGAATCACCATGAATAGTGTTTATTTTAGTTTAAATTTACCAAGCAAAATATGATATGATGTGATTTTTTTACCATATAGGAATCTCATAATAAGTTATGCTGGCACTTCATATTGTTATCTCTTACTAAATTAAAACTACAAGCAGGACAAATTTTAAATAATAATGTTATCATGAGAGTATACATCAAGACAATACAGGAACTTAACACGTTAGTTATTAATACTGCTTTTGTACATACATGTACTTTGTGATATTCACATGATTACTTCCTAATATGATATGCAAGAGAACATATTGTGAGAGTTGTAATAGTCAAATAGGATTTGCAGATTCGATAGGATGTCATAGAGGGTTTTTAATTTAAGGTTCTGATCAGCTGCTGGTACTTAATTATACTGAACTTTCACAACACAGCTGCTGCTTTCATATCATATATCTGTCACAAAATATTTCATTATGAGGATTTCTATTTAAATTTATAAATATTTATAAAGATAAAGCAGATGTGCTGAGAGTTTGAATGTAAATGTAAAATACATAATATTTTTTTCTCCACTGTCCAATCATAGTTTTATAGTCATAACATCACATTACATACTAGTTGAACCAAGCAATGGCAGTACATTTATATACCTACCTCCTCACATAACCAGCCAGCAAATTCTGCACTATTGTCATGTGAAATACGTATTTTGTAGAGGGGTCCAATATCACCAGCAGTAATCTGCATAAATAAAAAAAGTAAAACTCTCTAAAAAAAATTCTATGAACATGGAATTATTCAGAATGCAGAACCTTTCTTTAGTTTAACTTTGAGTTGAGTTGTTTTATTAGAAAGCGATGAAAATCCAAATGTTCTGGAAAATATTCTGATATGTTGCTATTACAATCTAAATAACTTTTTGACAAGAAAAGATAA